AATCCCTGCCGTCAGGAATCCCTCAAACATATCCCGAGAAGCCAGCAAGAATCTCTGAGGACTCTCTGAGGAATCTCTAAACTATCGAATATCTAAGAGATCTCTTAGGAATCTCCCAGAATCTTCGAAAGCGGCTTGCCTTGGTACCAATTGATTTGGATGGGTATCCAAATGGTCGGACACCGTCGCGACTCTGATCCGTCGCGACTCGAGCCGGCCCCCCTTCCTCCCTGTCAAAAGAAAATGTTCGATCGGCCCCACCCAGGATGAATTGTAGGGGTGTGGTTCGAACCGGGGGGATGGCCCGCCCACTGAATCGCAAGGGGGGGTCCAACCAACCCCCCCCCCTTTTTCGAACTGCGAGGACGACAACGACGACGGTGGGCAACAGACGGCTCAACACGCAACCTAAGCATTACAAAACGCACAAAATCATCAAAAAGCACATATTCCACATACATATAGAAACTGGCACGAAGTGAACTGGAGTGCACTGAAGTTGCCTGGACAGGAGTAGACTGGCCCTGACTGCGGTGGACTCCACTCCACTCGACTCTACTCTACCCTATTCTACTCTACTGCTCCAACCTACCATCTACCCTACTCTTCGCTAGCATACTCTGCTGTACTCGACCGGCTGTGCCATACCCTACCCGTTTCTACTCCATTATATTCAACTCTACTCTGCTCCTACTCTATATGACTCCTGTTCGACTTTACTCTACTCCCACCATACTTTAACCTACACAACTCAACTCGACTCTATTCCACTCTACTCTCAGCTGCTCTGCTATCTTCTACTAAATCTGAATAAAAGGGTCCGAACGGTCATTCGCTGCCCCTGGGTGCGTGGCTGACGGGGGGTTCCGAGATGCGGATTATTGCTGTTGTGTGTTGTTGTTTGGCGTCGCCCCTCCGCGACCCAGCCCGCGACACACCCGCGACCCAAACCGCGAACCGCCCGCGACCCACCCGCGACCCACCCCACGACCCACCCCGCGACCCACCCTGAGACGCACCCGCGACCCACCCCGCGACCCCCCCGCGACACCCCCGCGGCCCACCCCCGCGACTCACCCGCGACCCACCTGCGACCCATCCGCGACCCACCCGCGACCCACCCACGACCCACTCGCGATCCACCCGCGACCTACCCGCGACCTGCCTCGCGACCCACCCGCGACCCACCCATTGAGCCACCCACATTGCCTTAACGAGAAATCGGCGCTTGCAGCGGGCCCGTTGTATGATTTGTGAAAATTAGCCTGCGGCGGGCTTCTTCAGAGACTCGCAGACTGCAGACGTCCATCTCGGCCCCTCACTCTTATCCGCAACTGCGAGGTGCTACGTCTACTTGTTTCTGCTATGCCCGACTTCACTCTACCATCGGCCCTGCTCTGATATACTCTGTTCTGCTCGACCCTACGCTGTTACACCCTATCCTGCCCTAGCGTACTCTAAACTATCCTACTCTACTCTACTCCTACTCTACTCCACTCTACTCCTGGCGCTCATCGATTGCATTCTCCTCTACAGTACTCTAGCATTCCCGACCTTCCTCTGCCGCTAATCAAAACTTGCTCTATTCTAATCTACTCGACCTTTTCTGATTCCACCGTACCCTACCTCAATGTTTGTTCGAGGGGACCGTAGCAACTGAAGACCGTCGGCTTGAACTCCGTCGCCGTCACCGTCGTCGTCGTCGTCGTCGTATTCGCCGTCGTCGTCGTCGTCGCCGTCGTCATAATCGTCGTAGTCTTCGTCGTCGTCGCTGGCGTCACCGTCAGTCGTCGTCGTCGTCGTCGTCTCCGTTCGGTGTCGTCATAATCGTCGTCGTCGTCGTCGTCGCTGGCGTCACCGTCACAGGCGTCGTCGTCGGCGTTCGGTGTCGTCACAGTCGTCGTCGTCGTCGTCGTCGTCGTCGTCGTCGTCGTCGTCGGCGTCGGCGTCGGCGTCGGCGTCGGCGTCGGCGTCGGCGTCGTCACTTTCGTCGTTGTCGTTTGCCATTGGCGAAGGGTGGGCGGAGCCAGTTCGACCCCTCCACATTGCAATTCCCAAGTGGACAGGGGGGCGGCCCTCCCCCGGTTCGGGCCACCCTCCCCCTTGAGAGGGGGGGAGGGCCATCCCCCCAGTTCGACCCCCCCCCCCTTCCAACTCAAGGAGGGGGGGGTTCGAACACCCCCTCGCTCGAGGGCCACTATTACTTTCTGTGGCCCGTTGGGGCTTTTTGTGGCACGTGGCTCGTGAGTGATGGCCATTCTGCTGCCCGTTGGGGCTTTCTGTGGCTTGGTGTTCGCGTGGCCTACGTGAAGACAAGCGATCTCATGCTTTGGAAACGAATGGGTTACCCTATTGCCTATTGATGTGCGTGTGGTGCCTGCGGATCGAAGGTCTAAGTGCGTGTCGTGTCTGGGTATCTGAGGTTTGAGTGCGAGCCGCGTATGTGCATCTAAGGGTCAAGTGCGTGTCGCGTCTGGGCCTCGAAGGTTTGAATGCGTGTCGTGTCTGTGTCTCTACGGTTGAAGTGCATGTCGTGTCTGTGTCTCTACGGTTTGAACGCGTGCCGTGTCTGTCTCGTAGGTTGAAGTTGAAGTGCGTAGTATGGTGTTTGAGGCATGGTGTTTACAAACGGCGGCTGGGCCACAGAAAGCTAAACCAGGACCACCGGGACCACTGGGCCACAGGAAACCCCAACGGGGCTACAGAAAACCCCAGCGGGCCACAGAAAGCCCCAACGGGCCGCTCTCCCGGTTCGAACCCCCCCCCTTCCCAGCGTCCACTGAATGCGCGTTTGCCTCATATCAAGATCCACCGTTGTGGAAACCGACCTCACAGGACACCAGGACGCAGTGGACACGGATATCTTTGGGCCAGAGGGGGGCCCACAGGTATCCGCCAGACCCATTGCCTCCCGGAAGGCCAGTTTCCGAAGATATGCATGTGGATACCGTCCAAGCCTCGGATGCGCCCCGTCTGCCTGTGCCCCCGGGCCCCCGACCACCCCCCAGGCCTCTGACCTCCCCGGCGCGGCAGCAGAAATGCGCGGCGGCGCAGACGGATACTCTCCACAATGGAGCCCAAGGTCTTGGCAACGCCCCTCACGCTGGGCCTCCGCCAGGCGGCGCCCTGCTGCGAGGCCCGGCGCTCCTCCTGCGCCCGCCTCTGCTCCTCCCGCCTCACGCTCTCCGACATGAGAACGACGGCGCGGTACTCTCGCACTGCCGCCAAGAGCAGCGAGCGGTAGCACCGCTCGAAGGCGTCGACTCGCAAGAGGCAGCAGCACCTCCTCGGCGGAGACAGCAGGCGCTCGCGCTCCTGCTGCACCTGGCGCCGCCAGGCCAGGGACTCCTCGACGGCAGCGAGAACCTCGGGGCGCAGTGGCGGCTGCTCGCCCCCCGCAGGAAGGACGCCTGCCGCCGCGGAGTAGAGCCTCTCCACCGCCTGCGCCCCGTCGCCCGCCGGCGACGGCTCCACCCTGCGCGCTCTCTTGCGCCCACAGGCGGCGAGGCAGCGCCGCCAGGAGAAGAGCCTCACTGGCACGAGGCCGAAGAGGCCGTCGAAGAAGAGGGCCGCGGGGACCAGCATGCACGACGGCGCCTCGCTCGCCTCTCGGCGGCGCACGCCGCGGTCGAAGGCTGCGCCGAGGGCGGCTGGCTCCTCCGCCCCGGGCGCAGGCACGCAGAGGCAGAGGAGCAGCACCTGCACCACGGCCGTGGCGCCCACGAGCGCCCAGAGCCTGTCCCAGGCAATGCCCCTCGCCTCTGGCACCGGGTCTGCGGTCTGGGTGTGCAGCAGCTCGAAGCTCGTCACCGGCACCGCGGCCACCATCACCAGGTCGTCCGCGTCCAGGCCCGCCCGCAGCGCGCACTCCAGCGACGACTCGTTGAGATCGTGGACGTCCAGGCTCGCGATCCAGCTGCTCGCGGAAGCGTCCCACTGGGCGCAGGCCCAGCTGATGTTGACATCATAGGTGTTCAGCTCCACGCCCTGCAACACCTCTGTCTGGAAGGCGCGAGGCGCAGTCCCCTCCACAATTTCGAAGCGCACGGCCACCACGGCGGGGGGCACGAAGACCCCAGAGCAGCTCTTGGACCGGACCGTGGCGTAGAAGGGGCCACTGGCGCCCAGCGGCCCGGGGAAGTCGTGCGCTGCCACGAGGCCCGAGAGGCTGCCCTCCAGGTGGAGCGAAGAGCTGCTCGCGGCGCTGCCCGTCGGACTCGTGGACCAGCGCGTCACCTGCACGTCCACGGCGTCAGCGCAGCCGGCCTCCGAGGCCGCGAGCCGTCGCCCGGCCGCGAGGGCCGGGAGCTGGACGTAGAGGCCCAGAGGAACACACCGGAAGCCCTCGGCGGCCTGCAGGCGCGGCAGCCTGCCGACCGAGATGGCCAGGCCGGCGGCAGAGACCTCGTCCCAGACAGCGGCACCGGAGTGCCACAGCCGGCTGCTCCGTCTCAGCCGCGCAAGCATCGCGTCGCCCAGGCTGCCCTCGGAGGTGCGCACCGACCTCGCGAGCGCGGGGCGCGACAGCAGCGCCTGCATCGACGACAGGAAGAGCCCGAGCGTGTCCGAGTCGATGGGGTCGAGGCTGTTCAGGTTGGGGTGCGCCGTGCAATCCTGAGTGAGGAATTCCAGGAGGGCGCTGGCCACTTCCCCCAGGCCCTCGCTGATACCAGTGCCAGATGCAAATTGGAGGGCCTGCTCCAATATCCAAGCTCGCACTCTGACATCTTCGCTGCCAACCTCTGCGTCGTCTTCTGTGGCGCCCAGGACGTTCCAATAATCACCTAACAACGTGGTCGCAAATGCAGCTGCGTCGCTGACAGAACCAGCTGGCGCCCCTGCAGCGGCCGCGAGAATGGCCACTGCAGATGCGCTCACCGCGCGGACAGAGGGGGCGCCCGTGACCAGTGACAGAACGCTAGAGGCCGTTGCGTCAGAGATGGTTGGGGCAGCGATCTGGACTTGCTTGGAGGCGTGTGATTCGGATCCGAGGTTGTCTCTTACCATGGTCGCCACGGTGGCCAGGCCCGAGACGCCCAGTCTGCAATGCATGGCTAGAAAAACAAACAACTACATGATGCGTAAACTTTCGGAGGTCCGCGCGGGTTTCTTGCGTAGGCGCTGGACCCCCACCCCTGGCGCGCAAGGCTCGCCAGAGGCCGCGCCTGACGAGGCGCAAGGGGGCCAACGCCGACCAAACAAAACCCGCGCGGACCTCCGACAATCTATGCTTGTGTCGTTTTTGTTGTTCTTCGGATGGCGTTGTCCTGGCCGTAGCCGCGGATGTACGCCGGCTGATCCAGGGAGGAGCCCTCCTCCGAGCTGACGTTGAGGACCACGAACGCGTACTCGAGCGGCAAGGCGTCGGCTACGTGCGACACCCACCCCTCCGCGACCAGCAGAAAGTCCGTCTGCAGCGCGGTGCCCTCCTGTGGCGAGAGGATCACCTGCCCGTTCCAGGGCGCGTCGGCGAGGGCGAAGGCGCCGGTGCTCTGCAGCTCCTGGCCCTCCGACCTCAGCACGCAGCGGTACTGCCCCCCCGCGATCAGCATCGACGACGGCACGGTGCTCACAAACATCACGACGGGGGCGGCTGCGCTCGCTGGCAGGTCGACGACCGAGACCTCGCGCGTGTCGAGCGCCTCCTCGATCGCCGCCAGCCCAGAGGCCTCCGCCCTTACCAGCACCCAGGCAATCTCTCCAGAGGGGCCGCACTCCGGCGACATGCTGGCGGCGCACTCCAGCTGGCCACCCACGGCCAGGGTGGGCGGCACGGCGAGCGTGCCGATCCCCTCGCCGGGCCCGGACGTGGTGTTGGCCTGCACCTGGATGGTCCTGCCGGCGGAGCTCTGCCGGGACCCGGTGGAGGACAGGACGGTCACCCGGAAAGTCAGCTGGCCCACGCTGTCCGCACCGAGCCGGACACTCTGGAAGGCCCCGCCGAACGCCTCCAGGTCTGGGCACGCGGCCGCCCCGACGGGAAAGCAGCCCCACCTGCACGCAGGACCAGTCACACTCGAAACGGGACATCGGATCCCCTCTGAACGTGCATCCGGTCGGGCAGCACAGCACGGCGCCGAGACTGACTCGGATCGGCCGCGCTGGGGTGCTGCACAGCAACGCCCTGCAGGCATCGGAGCGCATCGCATCGCCAGAGGACGTCGGGACCGAATCGGACTGGACCGGCCAGAATCGACACACAGCCCGATCGGATCGGATCGGAGTGGGCCCTGGCCTGTACGAGACCGACGCGCTCAGCTCGACCGGGTCGTACGAGCCTGAGGCGTCCAGCACTAGCGGGCAGCCGACTGCGGCGATGTCTGGGGCAGCCAGCACGGCCACGGGAGAGGCCACGGTGACCACGCGTACCTCGAAGGTCATCGCCCTCGTGACGGCGAGGCCGCCCGCGCCCGCGGCGCTGACGTGTGCCTCGATGGTGTGCGTGCCGACGCCTTAGCGAAACAAGCAAAAAACGTGGCACGAGCATACGAGGTCCACACGGACTTCTTGCGTCGACGCTGCGCCCCCATTTGCGGTGCCCATTGGCGGCACCCAGTGACGCCGCTCTTGGCGCGCCTATCGCGCCAGGAGGGAAGCGCCAAGCGTCGATCCAAGATATCCTCGCGGGCCTCCGAAAGTTCATGCCTGTGATGTTTTGGTTGTTTGTTCTTTGGCACCTAGCGCCGCAACAGCGGGGGAGTCAAAGGCTAGATAACTGATCCAATCGATCTCGGAGATGATGCTGCCCTGGGAAGCGAGTGCTGGGAACTCTATGCCACCAGGGGCGCGGCGAAACCACACGACCGACACGTTTAGCCCGTCAGGGGGCGTGGCGGTGCAATCCGCTGCAGGTGGTGGCCTTACGTAGACCTCGAGGCGGAAGGAGCCTCCGACCGTGGCTTCAACCTCCGACTCACGCGACGTCACAAGCGGAAGGCCGGAAAAGACCGTGATCGTGGTGGAGCCCCGCCGGGTTACGTTGCCGGGGTCGAGCAGGGTAACCGTTAGCTCGAAGCTCTCTTGGTTGCTGTCGCCTAGACCAGAGCGTAGCACGCTAGCAGGGACGCTGGCGTACAAGCCATCCTGCCACTCCTGAGCCCCAGAGTACTCCAGGCTGTCTGACACCGCCATCACATGGTTGCACATGCTACTGGAAACCGGCGCGCATGTCCACTCCAACTGCGTCGCAGCGTAGCCAGGCGGCAGCGCGTCGATCCAGAGTCCAGAGCAGGTGTCGATGTCGGCCTCGCCGTACATGGTGACACGACCGTAGTCCACAAACAGAGTCGCCAACGTATACGGAAAGTTAGTGCTTACGTACCTACCGCACTCGGTGGCCGATGTTGGCTCAACACAACGACTCGAATCGGAGTAATTACCCACCCAACAAATCGTGTATGTGCCCGGAGATTTGATTGTAAATCCGCTCCACACGACGTAGGTTGGATCGATGACATGTGGTGATCCTAACCCGTCCGCCTCGCTGTTGGAATGATCGACAGTATCCGCAAGAATGGTAGCCGCGTCCGTGCCGCATTGGACGCCGGGTGGCACAATTGAGATTCTGTCGTCGGCGCCGAGCGCGATTCCGTACACGCCAAGACTCAAAGGCCAACCGGCCTCCATCGTGGAGAAGCTGGACGTGGTCGGGCCGCCGACGATCAGATAAATCGCGACGATATTGTAGTGCACCGCTCTGGAGCACGATAACCGCCCGCACCAACAGACATGATAGGAGCCGACCTCATGAACCACTGTGTCGACCCATGTCTCCAACTCGTCCTCTACGTCTGCGTACGGCGCGCTTGTGGCCGAGAACGTGCTGCCGTAGCTAAGTGCAGCGTCGCTGCCGCAAGCCACATTCTCAACTCCCGACGGGATAATGCTAAAACGGTCGGTGTCCCTCGGTAACTTGACAGAGAATTTGAGGCGGAACGGGTTGGCAACGATCTGCAGCTCCTCCCTAGCAGGGTGAGTTGGCCCGAGGACGATCAGGCCGTCTGCGACAGGCGAGTAGCTACCTTCCGAATCGTCGCACTGACCTGCACACCAGCACACGTCGAAAGCGTCAGGGCGGTAGATCCACCGGCCCCCTTGTGGAGCCACCAGGCTGTAGGGTTGGGCTGCTGCTCCCTGCGCCAGTTCCAGTTTCCAGTTTCCAATGCTGCAGTCTTGCTTTCTGCTTCCTATTGTAAAATGTTACTGTCCGCACGAGGGGGGAGACAAAAACTACCCTGGTTGTCACAATTTCTGGGGGACCCTGCATGGATCCTGAAATGCATGAGATTCGCGCCTCCGAGGCAACGATCCCTCGCACATTACGCCACATTCGCGCCCCTGGGGCCACGATCCCTTGTAAATTACACGATGCTTGCGTTCCCGACGGCACAAACTCATGTAACGTATACAATGATACCGGAGAAAAGCCCCAATCCTAATCTTTTAGGGCTTTAGGGCTATGGGGCTATAAGGCTATAGGGCTAGAAGGCTGTGGGGCTATAGGGCTACAGGGCTACAGGGCCATTGGGCTATAAGGCTATTGGGCTACAGGGTTATGGGGCTGTAGGGCTATACGGCTATAGGGCTATAGGGCTATAAGGCTGTAAGGCTATAGGGCTATTAGGGCTATAGGGCTACCGGGCTATAGGGCTAGGGCTATATAGACCTACCGGGTACCCGGGCACACGGGCACCCGGGCACCCGGGCAAACGGGCACCCGGGCACCCAAGCACCCGGGCATCCGCGCACACGGGCACCCTAGGGCACCCGGGCACCCTAGGGCACCCGGGCACCCGGGCGTGCAGGGAAAATCGGCGGCAAACGTAACCTAACCAAATGAATCCGCTAGGACACCTACAGAGGCAAGCTATGATCAGGGGAATATTGGCGTTTTGCGTTCCCGACGGTATAAGCTCATGTGAAGTATACAATATTGGCGTCCCCGAGGCCAAAGCTTCCCTAAAGTATGCAATCAACGCGTCCCCGAGGTTATAAACCACTGGGGATAACACGACATTCGTGTCCGTAACATGATATTCGCTTCCCTGGGGCCATAAACCTTAGTAAATTACACCATGCTTGCGCCCCCCGAGGCCATAAACCTCAGTATATTCTGCGATCTGTGCGTCCCCGAAGCCATAAGCCATCGTAAATAACGTTCGCGTCTCCGAAGCCATAAACCTGTGTACATTACACAAGTATTACGTCCCCGAGGCCATAAGCCCTCGTAAGTTGCGCAATGTTCGCGTTCCCGAAACGTTTAACCCTCCGAAATGATAGATGCTCGTGTCCCCGAAGCCATAAACACGTGCACATTACGCCATATTCGCGTCCCCGAGGCTGCAAATGGTTGTAAAGTATACAAGATGTGCGTCCCCGAAGCCATAAGCCCTTTGTAACTTCCAAATGGCTCGCGCCCCCGAGGCCACGATTCCTTGTAAATTACGGCGCGCTCGCGCCCCCAGGGCCTCAGTCCCTTACAACAGACGCCGAGGAGCCCGACCACCCCAGCCGCACGATTTTGCCCACTCTAGCTTCAAGCAGCCCGCAGTCCTTCCAAGAGGGCCTCCAATGCATAGCACTCGGGGGCAAGTCCAACATGCAACACCGAATTCAACAATATCATCTGAATATACATCTTTCTTGCCGATTATCGTCCTCGCATGAGGTTCCGACGCTGCTTCAAGACAGCGCCCAGACCTCACGACGTAGCTCATGCATGATCCATTATCCGAGAGAGAGAGAGAGAGGGCTGGCGGCAGGGGGCGCACCCCTTACGGATAACCACATCGTTCCATGACTCCATCGGTACCGGAGAGCCGTCGCTCGAGTTGTAGATCTCGTTGGGGCCCGACAGCCGTACCACCACGTCCGAGTCGCTGATATCAGATCCTGCTTCGCCACAGGTGCCCGATGCCTTGATGGAAATTCTGTTCGAGCTCGAAGGAAACACAGGGCTGTCAAAACTCTGCCCCTCCACGATGAGGTCAAAATGCACGCCTGCGCGCAGCTCGCTGGTACTTTCGTACGCCCCGATATCGTCGGCTTCGTCCGCGTAGATCTTGATCTTCAATGCAGCCGGATACCCACCGACTGGTGCCACACAAACAAAAAAAAACACCCATCCTATGAAGCCCAAGGGCATGTTGCCCGAGCTGGCGCCTGCTGCAACGCACAATCTAACACCGCCATGCTAACGTGTCGAAACCATCTGAACCTTCAGCCAAAGGCCTACGGAATCCTCATGCTACGTTCTAAGAGAAAGGACACTCAGAAAACGGAACATCGAAATGAAAGAGGTCCTGAGAGAAACGAATCCTAGACAGTGGGGCTTTCCCCAAGTCCAGTTCTGCATCTGGAGTCGTTTTTGACAGTCCTGGCCCCGTGGAGGGCCCCAGGGACGGGAACGCGGCGAAACAAATCAAGGACTCCTTTCCTCCAGTATCCGGTTCGATCATGCTGAGCAAGGGGCTATGCTCTTTCGAGCTCAAACTCTGAATTTGGAGGTACCCCCGCCACCTGTTCGCATTCCATGCCTGCGCCAGAGCAGCGACGCACTCGTGCGATCCGAAGTCCTGACGCTCCCACGCGCCGACACGAGCTGGCGCCAGAGCCGCGCACAGAGGACGGGAGAAAACGGACATGGAAGAAACGTGCACAAAGGCAAAGGGTCGTGGAGGGAAGGGGTCCCGGAAGAACAGGTCCTGGGAAAAGCCCCGGGGTCTCGGACCCGCTCCCCTCATGACCCCTGCCCTTCGCGGCGAAACGATCGGGGGCAGTGGGAAGAAGGCACGCCGGCAGGCGGGCGCGTTTGGCACTCGGCGCCTGGGATCAGTGCATGAGGTCATTGACGCTCTTAGGGGGCCACATGCGAACCCCACCACTACCCCCCAAGATTTCTGAGGGGGTGGGGTCACTTCCCTCGGGAGCTCCCGAACGAAGTGAACCCAACCCCACCCCTCAGAAATCGTAGGGGGTTGGGGTAGGGTTCGCATGTGGCCCCCTAGCTCTCCGCCCAGAGCCCGTTTAAAAGTCGCCCTCCGAGGCCCCATGCCAGACGCCATCCTGTCCACTGTCCGGGCCAGGTCGAGCCGTGGCGACTGGCCCGCAGCCGACGGCCGAGACAGCACGCCTGTCCAGCCCTCCGAGTGGCAAGGGGGCGGCGAGATACCAGGAAGCTGAAAGCACCCACGGCTGGATTCGCACGTGGAACATCAGGAGCCCACTTGCTGCACACGCGGGCGGAGGGCCGACTTGCCTGGCCATGCGAGGGCCGAGCGCTGAGAAATGCAGTTACACTCGGAGACGGGCGTGCTGAGACAACGGCAGCTGAAAGCCGATCCCTGGACCCCTCTCGGGGTCCAAACGCACAAGTTTTCCGAGCTGCGCTCAGCCGTGGCGACGAGACACACCCCCCCAAGGCCAGCTGCCGGTGTCTCAACTCGCCCTACTCTGACACGTGTCATTCCGGCTCTGGCTCAGGCCGGCCACGTCGTGTGCATCCATATTCCTGGCGCGATGGAGCCTCGGAGCTCTGATGCTGGGCAAGGGAGCACGGGCTTCGGGCGACCATGTGGCAACGACTGCAGCGGCGGCAAGCCAGGAACAAGGCCGAACCGAGAAGGATCTCGGCCACAGCCTTGGCAAAACTGTGCGTCCTTGCTGCCGTGCTCGGCCACCCTTGAAGGAAATTGCCAGTAGCACCGTCGGGTGCTGCCACCACGGCAGAGGGCTGCAACTCGCCACTCCTGGGGGTCCCTTTTGGGGGGGGAGTGTGCGTGTGTGTTAGTTTGTGCTGGTGGTGGTGGTGGTGGTGGTGGTGGTGGTGGTGGTGGTGGTGGTGGTGGTGGTATTGGTGGTGGTGGGATTTCAACGACATGCTGCTGCGCACAGCCCCCCACAGGGTGGAGGCGATCTTGCATCCTTTGGCGAGAATCAGCCGGTAAAGACTTGACTGTGGCGGCATCCGTGCCTGTTCCACCTCTGCATGCCTGGCCTCCCCTCCGGGGGGGGGGGGGGCGGCGCCCCGCCTGCAGCCTGGCGAACGCGTCCATGCGCGCCCTCACCTCGCGGACGGGACGCCGCTGTGCCAGAGGAGGTGGCGCGCGGGGGGGGGGGGGGGGGGGCGCCCTCGGGCGGGCCACGGCGGGCTCCTGGCGGCGGAGGCCTCAGACGCGAACAGGCGGGCACCAACGAGAACGGCGGCGGATGTTTCAAAGTCTAGGCCTCTGGTGGACGGTTTCGGGCCCTGGGGAGATATACAGCCCGAGGGCGGTGCATGTACGTATGTTTACACTCCTACCCATGTTTTCTCTAGGCAGCCTGTCTGTAAAGGTTATGTAAGCCTTTTGTCCGAGAAGCTGGTAAGTAGATGGGCTGCCGAATCCAGAATGGGTCAGGCGACGTGGCCTCCTGTGACCTCCCGCTGCCACCCGTGGACTGCTGGATCCAGAATCAATGGGGCGACATAGTCTCCCGTGGTCTCCCGCGGCCTCCCGTTGCTCCCCTATTGCGGTGCCTATCCCTATCCCTCCATCCCTCTCACTCTGCCAGCCTATCCCTATCCCAGTCTGTGAAGCCCCGCCAGACGCACGCAGCGCACGAGGCACCCACGCAGGCGGGCACCAAGCCGAACCCCGACACACGCAACCAATTTACGCAGCTGCATGCAGCTGATGTCGCACCCCCCCTGCACAGTGCCCATTTCTCGTCCGACTCGAACCCCCATCGCCTCTCCTCGCACCCCCTCATTAGGGGCAAGGAACACACGCGCCGCCCCGCAAGAGGCGTCACCCTGTCCCACGCGCTCCCGTCCTCGACGTTCGAGCCCCGGCGCGTGATGGGTTCCTCGCTGGCACGCGTGGGCTGATGGAGGTGGAAGAAAAGGGCGCGGGGGAAAGAGGAGGGGAGGAGGAGGGGACCCTCCTCCTCCTCCTCCTCCTCCTCCTCCTCCTCCTCCTCAGCGTTGCTCCCCCTGCTCCTCCTCCTCCTCCTCCTCCTCCTCCTCCTCCTCCTCTGCCGCCTCCTCTGCTCCCCACCGTTCCTCCACATCCTGCACCGTTGTTCCACCTCCTCCTCAGCGCTGTTCCACTTCCACTTCTTCCTCCTCCTCCTCCTCCTCCACCAAGGGGGACCACAGCACGCAGAGAAAAAAGGCCTGCAGGGCGCATAGCCAATCGGATGCTCCCGGACTTGCCCCCTCGGCGTCCTCAGAGGTGTTGGAACTGGCTTTGAGGAAGAACCAGGGGTGGGAAGAAGATGATCAGGGAATATCGAGGATCGAGGAGGACCGAGGATGGGGAGAGAAAGAGACAGAAAGAGAGAGAGAGAGAGAGACAGGACATTCACGCTTCGTTGGCACTTCAAGTTTTGGCCCCTAGTCGGGGACAACCACCGACGGAGGGGGAGGAGGGAGGAGGGGGGATGAGGAGGAAGAGGAGAGGATGAGGAGGAGGCGGAGGGGAAGGAGGAGGGGGAGGAGGACGAGGAACTGGAGGAGGAGGAGGAGGAGGAGGAAATGGAGGAAATGGAGGAGAAGGAGGAGGGGGAGGAGGAGATGGAGGAGGAGGCGGGAGCACGAGAAGGGGGAGGAGGGCGGAGTTAGCATGAAAAGGACGGGTCATGGACGAAAGGGGTTCTGGACGTTTTCCCCGCTTTCCGGACCCGAGGGCCATCCACGGGCTGCGGGACCTTCAGAGAACGACTCAGGACGAATAGCTGGCCTGGGAGGAGCATGAACGTGGGCATGACCGCGGGGCGCAATCCAAATGATGAGCCACAACACCGCCTACGACCCAAATACAACCCCGGAAAACCGCGCGTGGCAAGACAACATCAACACAGAGAAGAGCGCGTTGGGTCCCCCAAGTGGGGGACGACACTGCTTGCCGAGCGTGCTCATCGGCGCCCGGAAAGGTGCCGCTCGGGGTCTGGCCGCAAGCCCCGGCGGCGCGCACCCTGCGGCCATCGCCGCTCGGCACCACTGCCGCGAGCCAACTCCTGCCAGGTGCACTCCGTCCGGCTCCCCGGCCCTTCGCACGACGACGGGGAGGGAGCTCGACTGCTGGCCTCACCTCGGCGGCCTCTGAGAAACAGGACACGGTGGTAGAATGGATGGCGGCCAGGAGGGGGCCCCAGCGGGAAAAGGACGGAGCAGGGAAGATGCAGAGGGAGCAACCTGCCAAGAAGCAGTGCGAGCAGCCCCCTCAGGAAGCAAGCCTCGGCTGGGAAGATCTGGGGGCGTGCCGCCACTGGCCCGACTGAACTCGCGTGACCTGGCAATCCCTTCGCCTGGCCGAACAGCCTTTGGGCCTCGCGGACCGCGACGCTCTCCGATGCTCCTTCCCCGCCCGCCAGCTCCTCGAGCACCTCGCGGATGCTGGCCAAGAGAGGCTGAGCGAAAGGGCCCTGGCCATCCAGGAAAAACTGCATTTTGACCTGCTCCTGGTTCTGCTGGTTCTCTGTCTTGGCCCGCTTGGCGCGGCAGGAACGGACGTGGGGATGAAGATCCGTCGGGTCCGTCATGGGCGCGGTGGCAGTCTTCCAAAGAATGGCGCACGCTGCCGTGCCCTGAAGGGCGTCGGTTTCGCCCTCCTTCAAGGGCTGGCACGCCCAGCGCGAACGCATGAATGGGCGCTTACGGCTTCCTTCTGCCACTTCCCCTGATTCTGGGCTACCGCCCTCTTCTTCTCGCGCTTCTGCTGAACCTCTGAAGCGAAGGCCTGATTCTTCTTGGGCATCTTCTACTTGATTCGGGCCTCGAGCGGCGCTGGCCACGCGTCGCGCGCTGTGCCTGCGAGCGCCGACCTGGCCAGCGCCACAATGAGCTCCGCTGGGATCTTCAGGCCGGCATTGCCTCGCCCTCCTCCTTTGCCGCTGGCGCCCCTAGCCCGCGGCTGCCCCACCTCCTTGGCCTTCTTCACCAATGGGTCCGCGTCAGCATCCGGCTGGGGCGCCGGCCGCGCTTGCTTGGCATCCGGCGCCATGACCACTTCGATTCAGATGCAATTCCCTGGCGAGCACGCTCAAAATTTGAGGCGCGTGCCTGCAAGCGTGCTCTCGACAATCTGAAAGCCCGGCATGGCGACGCTCGCGGACAGGGCTCTGCGCGCCCAGCGCGACCTGCAGCGGCGCGCGAGAGCGGCCCCCCACCAGCGCGGCAGCAACCGCAGACCATAGATGCAGCCAGATGAGGGGGCTCCACCACCTTACCAGAGGAGAGCCCCACGCAATAAGGACACTGGTTGGTAGCGTACAGTGCGTTGCCGGCTGGGCGAGCATGATGGTGACATATGATATATACTAGGGTCGACTTTGACCTGGGGAATTTTGCTGCGCCGACCAGCCCCCCAGTCAGCGTTTACTGACCCGCCTCGTCGACGCAGGCGCGCGTGCCCACGCGGCCGCGCCTCACTCCTCAGCGGGGGCCGCTTGAGCTTCTGAGTCTGGGGGCGGGGTGGACGCAGCGCGAAGAAGCCGACGAAGTCCATGGAATCGATGTGGGGAAAATGCCCAGCAAACTGCTGATCCCAGCGGAGCGCCGCGATCGAGCTTCGCAGCTTCGCCGGCAAATCTCGCCCCCCTCGGCGCGATGCATGCGCCCGGGATCGGCGCGAGACCGACGCGCCCGAGGATTGGCGCCAGCTGCGAGACGACACATCTAGTCGGATGGCGGCCTCTTGCCCGCGGGCGGCGCGCCAGAAACAGCATCTGGGCAAGGGGCGGGGGGTACTCGACGCGCTGCTAAACCCGACGGAAAACCCTGATTCGAATTTCCGCGAAAGAGGGCGCCGCGCGACCGTGCCCGAAAACCTTCAACGCCGAGAGCGACTCGACGCGAGTTCTGCCCCCAAAACTTGCCCCACCCATGGCCGCGCGCCCGTGCCAGGCAAGACCTTCCAACGCCGGGGCTCAGACACCCGGTGAACCTCGAGGTCTGAACGCCGGCACTCTGAGCCCCAAGGAGGCAGGATCGGCGAAGAAGACAAGGAAGGAGCCCCAAGAGCGGACCAGAACCCCATCGAATCTTGAAGCGACGATTTGGGCGCCGCGACGCGTTTGACCAGCACGGACGCCAGGGAACCAGGCGAATGCATTTCCCTCCCCCAAGGACTCCCATTGCTAGCAGCGCGCGCCACGGAAACAATCCCCAACCGGCTTATTCGAGAGCGACGGCCGGCGGCAAGGGCGCCTTGACCTGCAAAACAAACAATCGTACTCTGCTCAGCAAGATCTGGTGCCCATCATTCGCCAGTCAGGATCTCATCCAATAACTTGCCGAGGTGCCCGCTGACGCTCAGGATCTCTGCAAGGCCAGCGTCGCGCGCATCGCATGACGGGCGTCCTGCAAAGAGCAACTTGAAAACATCGCCGCAAGCACTGAAATGCTGACGTCTATCCTGGCGCCCGTGACCGGGCTTTCTGCCGCCTGCAATCGGCCTGAGTCCGGCGGGCCAAATGGCACGCCCTGATGATATATTATGCCGATGGACAAGATATCTCTTTTCCATCTTGAGCCAAAATGGGTACACGGAGGAGGGTGTCAGAATCACTCCTCCTCGGGCCTGGCCGCCAACCCGGCCAGGCACGACATGCGTCGTACGCGGGCGCGTCCAAGCCGACACGCCCATCTCCACGTCACACGCGGGCGCGTCCAAGCCGACGCGCCCATCTCGTCAGCCAGGCTGCGGCCATGCCGCGAGCCCCTCACTTCACCCGTCCGGTGCGATCATACCGCCACCGGCGGAAACTCATCCAGCCCCACAGGTAGCGGAGCATGGATTCGATCCACTCCTTCACTTGATATCCTTCTGGGTCGAACTCGGTGCCCGATCCCAGATGTTGAGCGTCGCCATGTGTCTCCTCAAGAGAGATCCACCCACGCTCTTGGTCAGCACGTCCGCGACATTGTTCTTACCAGGAACCGCGGCGATCGAGAGGTCGCCCTTGCCCACGCGCTCCTGGATCCACAGGTATCGTGATTGAACATGTCGCATCTTCCCGAGACCTCGCCGTTGGACGTGGCCCCGGGCCGCCGATGAATCTGAGGCGAGCT